TCACAGTATTGACCCTGTATTGCCTACAGTACAGCTCTGTGTGCATGTGTGTGAGAGATTTATGTGTTTACGCAAGTATACGAGGGCGAGAGGTGTGTGTGTCTTAGGAGAGGGCCTAGAATTTTCCTATTACTTTTCTCCTGCTCTCCTTTGGGCATTTGGAGCTATAAATATACCTCAGCATGCTAAAAATGTGCAACAGTGTACGTTGTATGTGTGTGAGTGTGTGTGTGTGTGTGTGTGTGTGTGTGTGTGTGTTGGAGACTCGCTCCTAGATTTCAAAACTACATGTGTAAGAGTGTGGGCATTAGCATTAGGGGTTTATTCAGAATCCAGTGAGTTTGTTTCTGTTAACGTCTATATATTCTTTCACTTGTGGAGGGAACAGTGTATCAAAAGACTCTGTGGCAATTTTAAAAATATAAAATAAATTTGCTTTATTTTATACAGTTTTTTCAAATGAGGACATCCACAAAATAACTTTTGGGAGTTTTTGTCATATTTAGCTCGAATTCTGTGTACAAGTTTGACTACAAAAAATGGTTAAAGTGATAGTTCACCCATAAAGGAAAAATTGGTATTAATTTACTCACCCTCAGGCCACTACTTGTCTTCAGTAGAAAAGTAAAGCTTTTTAACTGAACACTAAATAAGTAAGCAAGACCAGCATCTTAGGATCATATTCAAGTTTATTTCAAGTTTATTTGTATAGCGCTATAGCTACAAATCGTTGCAAAGCAACTTTACAGCCAATTAAGTTTCTACAATATTTAGTGGTAGCTTATCAGTGGTGACTGTCAGTTAATGTACATATGGCAGAAATGTATGGAACCGTCGTCACGGGCGATGTGCTGTATACCATCTTGATCAGGCTCCTGAAGTCCCTCTTCAGTATCTCCGTCTGCCGCAGCTTAGTGTCGTTAACCCCGGTGTGAAGCACGACCGCTCCGGGGCTCTCGTCGCCCCTTCAGGATCGCGGGTATCTGCGCAGAAACATCGAGAACATGAGCACCAGGGAAACAGTGAGTGTGCACTTTACCTTCAGCTAACGTAGCACGGACGTGGCGGACGATGGAGTCTTCGACGATCACAGTGTCGCTTTCCGTCTCACGGAAGGGGAGCGAAGTGTTTCCGGGTGGAGATCTCGAAGACCGGAGGCGGCGGAGGGGGAGAGGTCGTCGCCCGGGGCCTGGCTCTCGTCTTTCGCTGCGGGTGCACCGTGCCTGTGCAAAGAAACACACGGAGTAGAGGTGGTGGGAGAGTTAGCGGGCAGGGACATTCTCGTTTTAGAGAGCATTTGATTGGACAAAATTAATCAATACTTTATTTTGATGGGATCTTTAATGTTTTAAGAACAAGAAACAAAGCAATTACAATTGAAGTTTTTTCAGTCTTTAGTCCGTATGTTGATTACATATTTTAGTGGATTGAAGTTTATTTATTTATTTTTTCTATAATAGGTACTCATTTAATTGTATGCTAAAGTGCACTTGTTTTTAACAAGGGACACGGTGTATAATCATCACTGTCGCTGGCACATTAAAAAAATCATATTGCCATTAAAAAATCATATTGGTCAACCTCTAATGCTAATGATCGTAGTTAGCTCAGTCGACCTGTCATGTCCACGCTAGATGATGAGCACAAAGGCTGCTCCGATACATTATCATGAGAGAATTTCCTCTGGGGGTTAATGAGTGATGAGCACTGTGTGTCTTTTAGTTAATGACTAATTGGTGTCCAGCAGGTTGTGTGTGAGATAACTCCTCTGAAATGTCAATTTAAAGATAAATTGTGTATTTTCTTTCTTAAAATGCAAGTCCTCGGCTACCGTCAGTTTGACAGTCAAAAAAGCATATACAGGCAACACAAAATTAATACCCATAGCTTCTGATGATATATTGAGGTCTTATGAAGTGAAAAGATCGGTCTGATCTTGGATGACCTGAGGGTGAGTAAATTAATAGCACATTTTCTTTTTGGGTGAACTGTCCCTTTAACACCCACAACATCATGGCGCTGAGTTTTGCACAGGTAAACACCACCCACATGTTTTTCAGAAAATGTAGAAATCTAACTATTTTCGCATATCCGTTTGGTGCCGCTGTGGCACAGAAATGACACACCTTGAGAGAAAGAGAAGGGGAAAGAGTCTGTTATTTGAGACCGAGAGAAAGAAAGGGCGCACATAACTTTATAGAGGAAGCAGAGGGTGTTTGTGAACGGCAGCAAGTGGAAAAAAAAGTTTCCCGTTGAAGAGACGGAGAGTGTGATGGAGGGACAGAGGTGTGCTCGTGAGGGGGTGGGAGAGGGGCTGTGTCTTTTGTTTTTGAGGTCAATAGCTTGAATGTCTCTGGGATGGAAATATGTGTGGGACCCCGCTACCCGTCACCGACACGCTTTACGTCTGACTGGAAGTGTTTTTGTGCCTGTGTATTTGTAATATGTACTAACTATTTATGACTGAAAAATTTGGATTTATTAAAATTTTAAGTACAAGCTTTGAGGCCTGCAAGATTAATCAAAATAAAACCGAAATTGCGATATGACTTTAAATCGAAAGAGCTGGGATTTAATGAAATAATATTATTTTATTATTATGTACTGCAATCACAATATTTTGGCAAAATTCTTCAGCCCCAAACACAGCAAATCTGGATTTTTTTTCAGTCACAATTTTTATCAGAAAAATCACAATTTGATTCTTTTCCCAATTAGTGCAGCCCTGCTAGCTTTTAGAATATGGAAAGTAAGGCCTTTTTTATCATTTGCATGAACACCGGTGTCATTGGGTGTGTGTGTGTGTGTTGTGTGAGAGAATGTCTCTTGTGCAACAGGTGTCAGGGTGTCCTGTTCAGACCTGTATGTATGACATGTACCACATGCCTCTCCCACACAGTCTACATGACAGACCTGCAATGACAGCATGGGAACTCCCTCAACGCTCGCACACACACACACACACACACACACACATGCAGGAGATCTCTGCAGGTTATGGACAAAGGCAGGTGGCTGCTGGGATTGTGTGTAGTTCTTCTTTCATTCACATGAGAGAAACCCAATCCTTCGCACATTTCAGTCTTGGCAGCTGTGCCGAGGTGTGTGTATGTGTGCGTGCGTGTGTTAGTTCTGGATCTACGGTAACGCTTGGAATGTGATCAGTTGGTGTCCATTGCAAATATATCTCCAAGAGCCCCTATAGTGGTTTGATGAATGCATTTTTTTCTGTCTTGTCTTGATGTTAGGGCTGCATGATTCATCAAAATCGCGTAATGGCTTAGTGTGATTATCAAATTGCAATCAAACTGCGATTTAATTAAATATGTGCTGCATGTTTCATAGTGAAGCGTGGTACTGTGTTCATTTACACGTGAGCAAGTTATGCTCCACTGTAGCGTCTCAGAGTGGTTCAGAACTCCATCCCTGCATCTGCTCAGAGTTTGGGTTACTAACATGCATTTAGGAATGCAACATGCACCCATACTTGTAGTGAGAAACTCTTGTCAACAAAAGGGAAGCTGTAAGGGCTACCTGCAGTTGTCTGTCAAAAAAAAATTTGTTGGTTTAATTATTAAAATAAAAAGACAGAAAATGTAAAATAATGTAAAATAAATCATTATTGTTATTAATATTATTATTAGTTTTATTATTAGTATATTATTATATAATTAAATAAATATTATTACTAAATGAAATATAACTAACAAATTGTTAATAGTAGTAGTAGCAGCAGTAGTAGTAGTAGTAGTAGTAATAATATTAATAATAATAGTAATTAATGTTGTTATTATTACTACTATTACTACTACTGCTACTACTAACAATTTGTTATTGTTATATTTTTTGTTATATTTTAAAGTCATATTGATAGATAATCACAAACCTTTGGCTTAATTGTGTATCCCTACAAAAAAGCACAGCAAACCTTTAAAAAAACTAAATAAATAAAAAATAGAAATCATAATTTTCTATAAAAAATATGCACTGTGTGTGAGTGAAGCGTAACACTGTGTTCCGATTGTAATGTAAAATAAAATAATTAGGTTGTTATTTGAATAATATGATGATCTTTTTTGTAATTTTATTGTATTCTTTTTTTATTTAATAATAATAATAATAATATGTCATTTTGGCAAAATTGTTCAGCACTAAACACAACAAACCTCCTTTTATATACAGTATGTATTATATATACACTGGAAAAAACAAAGTTACCATATATATATATATTAAAAAAACTAAATAAATAAAAAATAGAAATCATAATTTTCTATAAAACAAAAATCACAATTAAAAGTTGGTGGCATATCAAAGGGTTTGTCTTTTTTTTTAAATTTTTTTAAATTAATTTTTTTTTTAGGGTGGGATTTTCTCTTTCTAGACTAGAAAGCATTTGATTGGACGAAAATGGACACGCCTCTGAGTGCAAAATGAGTCATCAGTCCATTGTCAGAAGTGAAAGACTGTAAATGTTAAATGGGTTTATGCTAAAGGTTAATTTAGTCAGATGAGATCAGAGCCCTTTTGGATCTTTACGAAATATGTAAATGTGTAAATATTAGTTGTAGATGCAAAAATATGTAAATGCCTCTTATTCATTTGCAAACATTGATATGTTTATGGCTGTATGAACAAGACGAGGGAGTGGGAAACAATAAAAAGAGAGAGAGTGAAAATAAGAACTGTTTGATGAAAAATGAGACCGTCTGGATATTATTATTGAAGGTGGGGAGTTTTTGTGGTTTCTGCTCACTGTGGGTGGAGCAAATTAAACAGGAAACTCACTTCTGGGCATCACGGTGTCCAAACATCATTTGCAGCCTCCTTCTTAAAGGGACAGTTACACTTGTTCAAAAGTCTCTCTCTCTTTCAAAGGCTGTCGTTTCTCTCTAGTCATTATGCTAAAATGTCTCATTATTTTTTATGTTTTTGTGTGATAATGGGTCATAATGGAATTAAATGAAAGCGTAATTAAATCTCTGTGGTGTGTGTTACAGATCAGTGCGCATGCAGTGAGGAGACATCGGAATGCACTTGCTTGTTGGACCTTCATCCCAGTGAGGTGCGTAAATCCACAGCAAACCTGCAACATCCCCTGCAAACCAGCCTTCAGTGTCCTGAGATTGTGTCTGTTCTAAACACGTACAAGATCATTTACATTTATAATACAAGACAACCCTCTACGGACACCTTGGCAATTGAATCGTCATTGGCTAGTAAATTTTTTTGTTTACTTGCCAGACTGAAATATTATACTATACTATACTAGACTATATATATATATATATGTATATATGTTATATATATATATATAATATATATATATTATACTAGACTATATAACATATATAATGTTTGTAAAATGGTACAGCTTTTTAAATATCTGAAAGTACACTCTTAATATCAGTCA